AAATCCTGGGACAATCAGTGTTCCCTGTATAGTGCTGCTCTCTGTCTTGGGATATTATACACAAACAGATCTGTATTATACAGAGAGCAGCACTATACAGGGAGCACTGACTGTCCCGGGATATTATACACACAGCCATGTATTATACAGAGAGCAGCACTGTACAGGGAGCGCTGACTGTCCCAATGTCTCAAATGTTGGCAACTATGGCACTATATCAAGGGAAATGTTTGTTTTTTAATAATCCCTGGTGGAAAATAATGAATCCTCCACCAGGGATTATTAAAAAACAACAATACATTGTGTCGGGGGTGGAGCTTAACATGTGGCAGGGGCGGGGTCAAACTGTGGCGAGGGCGGGGTTAAATGTGCCCGCCTACTTTTGTCCCTGGCCCACCATGTGCCCCCCTAAAAATGAATCCTAGAGACGCCACTGCTGGGGAAGGGGGGAAAGAGAAGCACAAAGGGGCTTGTAGGACTCAGCCCCTATCCTACCCCAATAATTCTCTCTTTCACACTACACACACACACAATGCATCCTTACACACAAAGAAACTCACAATGCATCCATTACACAAACACACACAATGCAACCCTTACACACAAAGTAAATGCATCCTTTGCACACATACACAGAAACACACAATGCATCCCTTGCACACACAGGCAAACACACACTGCTTCTCTTACACACAAAAAGAAACACAATGCATCTCTTACACACACTCAATGCATCTCTTACAGACACTAAATGCACCCCTTACAGACACACACTGCATCCTTTACATACACAGAAACACACCTTACATCCCTTACGCATACAAACACAGATTCACACAATGCATCCCTTACGCACATCCAGAAACACACAATACATCCCTTACACACAAACACACACAGCTTTCTATCCCTTACACAAAAAACACACTGAATCCACTACACACACCCTGCATCACCTACAAAAACTGGTATCCCTATACACTACATTCCCTAAGCACACACTTTAGATCCTCTACACTAACACGTAACACATCCCCTACACACTCCACTCCCTGTGAGCGAACTCATGGGTGGAACATATAGGTGGACTTATGGTTGGGCCTTATGGGCATACTCACCATCAGGCCCTGGGGCACAAACCTTGAGCTGTGTAAGGGGACCCTAAAAAATTTAGCTGCTTCCCGTTCTCCCAGAACATTGAATTTTGTGACCACAGTTACAAACAGCCCCCAGAGAGCCTGTTCTACCCCAGACCAGTGGAGCCAGACTGCAGCCAAAGCCCATCATCATCCTCATCTGGTTGTAAATAGGCAATCTAGTATATTATTCGTGGCACTAATCTCTAATTTACCTCACATTAAAGGGACAATAGAGTCCCCAGAACCACTGCAACTTAATGTAGTGGTTTTGGTGTCTATAGCCTCTCCCCGAAGGTTTTTTTAATGCATACACACACTGTGTGCAGCACTGGCATTAGTTCATATGGCAGATCATATGGGTGGGACATTGTGATGTCACATGGGGGGGCGGCACATTTTTCTTTTGTCTAGGGTGGCAAAAATCCTTGCACTGGCCCTGGATGAGACAGAATCAAGTGGGCAAGTGGTGAGTCAAGAGGAAAGGAGAAGCACAGCCACTTTTTGTTTTATAGCCTGGGAGAAAGTCTGAAGGGTCTCAAAGGCATGATCCAGGTGTGGTTGAGAAAGAGAGAGGCAAGGTGGGGAGAATTATTTGCTGTTCAATCTTATCGGTAAAGTAGCATGCAAAGCTATTGGCTGTAAGGTTAGTTTGGGGGGTGGCCACAGCAGAACAAAAAACAGATTAATGGTGTCAAAGAGATGCCTGGGATTGTGTGAGCATTAACTAATGAGAGATAAAGAAGTACCTATGTGGGGTATAATTGGATTTGAGAACAATAGCAGAAAGCAAGAAAAGGATGCTTGAGGTAATTGGACACACGTGGTCTGTGAATTTCCCTAAAATAAAACGTGTAAAAAAAAGAAACATAGACAGTGTACTTTCTACTAATATATAATTTTGTGGTTATGGATTTTGTGACTACTATAAAAGTTGTAATCTCAGCATACCAAATTCCTTGAAATATTAGCTTTAAAATATAATTCATCCCTTGCTATATTTGTTTTATAACATCTAAAAATGAATTGAAATCCTAGACATAGTAGGAATTTTAGCAATCAGGACTAATTAATCAATATATTTTGAGTTAGTTTGATTTAATTGCACTTGGTGTGTAGAATTTATTAAATGTAAAACTGAGGGGGAAATATATATGTTTTTAATTCGTTTTTTTTCCATGTTTTAACATAGTATTCCTTTTGTGATAGAATGAATCCAGACATTATTCACAGTATTTAAAAAAAGCACTATAGGGTCAGGAACACAAACATGTATTCCTGACCCTGTAGTGTTAAAACCACTATCTATCCCCCTTTGCTCCCTTTGCCTCCCTAAAGATAGTAAAATCTTACTTGTATTCAAGTCTGAAGCAGCTGCCTCTGCCTGTGAACTTCCTCTAACCTCTGACATCATCAGAAGTGGTGGCCTGGTCCAATCACAGTGCTTCTCCATAGGATTAGGTGAGACTGACAGATCAGGGGCAGAGCCAGCACAATTCAAACACAGCCCTGGCCAATCAGCATCTACTCATAGAGATGAATTGAATCAATGAATCTCTATGAGGAAAGTTCAGTGTCTGCATGGAAAGTGAGGAGATACTGAATGATTGGATGCATTTTAGGCAGCCATGACCCAGGAATCATCTCTAACAGCCATTTGAGGAGTGGCCAGTGAAGTTATCACTAGGCTGTAATGTAAACACTGCATTTTCTCTGAAAAGACAGTGTTTACAGCAAAAATGCGTGAAGGTAATGATTCTACTCACCAGAACAAATACAATAAGCTGTAGTTGTTCTGGTGACTATAGTGTCCTTTTAACAATGAGCAGATTTAGCAAAATTAGCTCTGAATAATATTGAATAGGATACAGATTTCAGTCATACTGCTGTAATCTGTATATGGATGTTGTTTTGGTGATTACTCAGTTGGGCAAAAACTGGTAGTACAGGACACACTTGCACTAGATGAAATTAATTACAGCCCCTAAGTCTCAAAGTACCGAAAAATAATGATGGCTCACCATAATTTCCTGAAAATGTCAGCTTAGTTAGTGTTTGCCAAGTAGGTGTGCTGTAGTTGATTTAAATATCAGTTGGTTTGGTTCTCTTGTGCAGTGGTGTTACAGGTGTCCTTCTGCATAAACCCTACTAAAACTACTTGGTGTACTAAGATTGTACATTTTCAAAGCCTTAACACTTGTGAATCTGGGAATTCCCCCTTGAAGCCAACGTTGTAGTAGCAGCTGGTGCTCTGGCCCTAGGGTGACTACCCTGTTGTCCTGGACAAGAGACATCTGTCAGTCAAACCATAGGCAGTTCAGTTATCGTAGGTATGCTGTACCCTGTGCGTAATTCTCCCCCACTGTGCGGGCAGCACTACTCTAGTAAGTGTAGTTGTCAGAGCTCATGAAAAGTGGATCTTCCTGTTATCAACATCAACTGTTCCTCTGCTGCACAGTGTGTTCATAATGCACAATTTGACAAAGTGTAATACTGATATTTGCAGCATTGATACATATATGTGATTGATGGAAGTTAAACACCTGGACAGCAGCTGCTATTTATATCTACTGATATTTTAATTATCCATGAATTTATGTCTGCTTTTCTTTTCCTCTCTTTCATGACAAAACTGGTAATAGGACCTGTCCCATTGTTTATTCCTTTATCTTTAGCAATCCTGCAGTTAGACAGGCAGATCTCATATCCTCTTCGTACCCCTACCCTATCTTTACAAAGGCACTATATAAAGCAACAAAACTGAACATTGCAGGCGTAAATCAAACCTGTGCCACTTGACTCCCTTCAAGGATCAGAAAATAATAACAGATTCAAAAGGTGATTCTGTAATATTTCTTATTTTTAAACTAAGATCAGTGTGTAACAATACTTCATGTAACTTATGGTAAACTCAAAACAATAAAAACCTTATTATATAGAAAGACATATAGACAACAACACAATAAAATATAACTGTCAAAAGGAAGAAGTCACAGGAAGATAAACAATAAAAATCACAGCATTCTCCCTGCATTATCTAAATATACATTTATTTGCAAATACAAACACTTTTCACAGCCTACATAACTTTGACATGGAACCTTCTGCCAACAGACTGAACTGTGCAAAACAATGTCCATGCAAATAGCAGTAGACTTGGAGATGCATTTCATTCTGAAATGCAATTCAGCCAAATTTGGGCCAATTGTTTGAGCAGTTGAAATTTCCATTTCTGACATGCCATGATCTCAGAACAAATGACTTGTGCAACGCATGAAAACATTTGTTTTACTTTATGTTTTTGAGTGCCATTCCTGGGACCATAAAGAAGGGCAATGGAATGGAGAAGAGATTGCTTTTTTTTTGGGTGGGGAAAATAAACATCTTAGCTTGCCATGATGGACTAGCATTCTGTGGACTGTATCTCCTGTGCAATCAATAGTTGGAAAACCAAAGAAGATTGATGTTTATGGAACAGTCGGTCAATAATCATTGTATTCACAGATTAGGTGACAACTGACCAATAGAGGGTAAAAAAGGAGAAGCAGTATATCAATGTATACCTGCGGGTGGTATTTTTACAGACACTTTGACCACAGACATAAGTGAGATTTGGCTGGCTTCCCCTGGAACTGAAGGATGACGTCCCTTGGTGAGTCCGCCGGGGCTCTGGTTGCTTTTGGGATTCGAAAAACCCCTTCCACCACTTCTTGTTTGGTGGTGAGTATTGTGCTTAGCTTCCATGGCATCCAATCGGGTTGTGCATAGTGTTTGGACCCGTTGGACCTCTGCCGTCATGGACTCTATTGTGAGGCATTTCGAAGCAAGGCCCTGTGTATCTGCTTCCACTAATGTGACACGAACCTCCACTGTGTTTATTTCTTCCCGTACTGTAGCTATGTCCGCAGCAAATATCTGGCGTATGTTGCGGAGTAGTGCCTTAATGTTGCCTTTGGTAGAGGGCAGCTTGTCCTCCTCATCAGAGGAGGTGTGGTGCAGTCTCCCAGTGCCTGGGATCTCGTCCAGCACATCCGTGGCCTTCCAAAGAGGAGGCCGAAAGCCGGTCGCCATTTTTTGGGGGGCTCGGCGGTGGTTAAGGCCTTGTTAGGCCAGAGCAAGAGATCTCCAATGTCCCGGGCTCCCGCCATTCTGATAGGTCCTTGGCATCTGGACTTCTTCCCCATTCTTCTCATGGGTTCTTATTTTGCATCTAAATATGTAGAGGCAGAGTGTGTTTAGATGCTTTTTCAGGCTTATCAGCACGGAGCTCTCCTTTGGTACGTCTAAATAACAGTTTTTTAAAAGCTTTCTTAAGAGTTTTGTCAGTGTGTTGTTCAGTAAAAAATAAATAAATAAAATAAATAAATGTTCCTCATAAATCATAAAAATCCCCAAAGATATTCAGGCTACATCTGTATCTCAATTGTACAAAAAAAAAAATCCTGTGCTAAAACTCCCACTACTCTTGGGCAGCAGCAACGACCATAGTACACATCAGCCCCAATACATACAGTAAAAACCAAAGAAAAAAGTTACCTGCGCTCTTTCCTAAATCCCTATGTATATTTAAACAAATGGAGGTTTTATTAGTTACTCTAATGGCTATTAGAGGGAATGCCCACCTGCAAACCTAAGAGATTTGCCTTGATGTGGCAGGTGTGCATTCCCTCTAATGGTCATTGGAGTAACTAAATAACCTCCATTTGTTTAAATATACATAGGGATTTGCGAAAGAGCCAATTTTTTCCTTTGGTTTTTACTGTATCTCAATTGTGTATACTGTATATTGGCTGTTTTGTGAGATATCATCTGTGAAAGTCCCTTGGGGAAGCTATAGTTTCATCATCTGGGAAAGTCCTTTAGGAAAGCTATTTTTTTTTTTTTTATGTTCCATTACATCTGACAATGTTGTGAGTGTGTGGGATATATATTTGTTGTTAAGAATTGTAACCTTCAAAACTCTTTTGGTATGACTGGTTTATACCTGTGCAAATTAGTTTTTTTACTTATAATTTGGTCCCTGAGGAAGTCCAAACTTTGATAAAAAAAATGAATTGTACTATTCTGTTTTATTACATTTGAATGAGAATTTCAACACTAATAAATTGATCCTAAAACCTACTTGAAGTCCTGTTGTACTTGACCCTGGCCCTGGAGGAAGGAGTCTGAGGTGGATGAGACATCTTCTCACTTTCACTATCTAACAAGATAGGTTAGAGTACGCCAAAATGTCCAGGCATGCTACTGTTTGAAACAGTAATGTGACAGAGCTTTTGGGAGGGTAGTATAAGCAGGGCCGGTGCAAGAATTTTTGGGTACACAGGTGAAGATGCATTGTTCCATCCCCTCCCCCCAAAAGAAGCATCTTCACCTGTGTGCCTCTTAACACCACTTTTGTGTTTCGTATTCCCTCTTTTAAATTTCTTACCCCCTTTAGTGTATCTTATCCCTTATTTTTATCCATTGTGTGTCTTACACCTCCCTAGGGTATCTCTTACAACCTCCATTGTGTGTCTCTTATCTCCCCTCTTTGTATGACTCTTACATCCTCCCAGATTTTGTGTGTCTTGATTCCCCCAGTCCCATTGTGTGTCTCCTTCTCTTCCAACCCCATAGTTTCTTTTACTCTTCCCTGCTTCTTTGTGTGTGTATCTCTTTCACCCCAGCCCATCTGTCACCCCGAGTTCCTCTGTGTGTCTCTTTTTCACTTCTCCAGTCCCTCTGTGTGCCTTCCCCAGTCCCTATGAGTCTTTTTCACCCCAAGCCACTGTGTATTCCCCCCAAGGACCTTGTGTGTGTCTCTTTCATCCCCAGCCCATCTTTCTCCCCCCTCATGTCACTCTTTCTCCATAATCACACCCCTCTGTGTGTCTCTTTCACCTCTTCCCCCATTTTTTTGTGATCTCTTCCACTCCACCCTTGTCCCCTCCCTGTCTCTTAGTGGTCTCCTTTTCCCTCCTCTCCGGTCCCTTATTAGTCTCCCCCATCCTTTAGTGGTCTCCTCTCCCCCCGTCCCTTAGTGGTCTCCTCTCTTCCTCCCTATCCCTTAGTGGTCTCCTCTTTCTGACTCTTAGCGGTCTCCTCTTCTTCTCCCTTAGTGGTCTCCCCTCCTCTCCCTTTAGGGGTTTCCTCTCCCACCCTTCTCTGTCCCTTAGTGGTTTCCTCTCCCCTCCCTTCCCTGTTCCTTAGTGGGCGTCTCCCCTCCCTCCTCTGTCCGTTAGTAGTCCTAACCCCTCTCTTCACTGTTCCTTAGTGTAACACTCCCCTCCCTTCACTGTTCCTTAGTGGTTCTCTACACTTCCTGCCCCTTAGTAATTCTCTCCCATCCTCTCCCCGTCCCTTAGTGCCCCAGCATTGGTGTTCTTCTCTCCTCTCTTGCGAGTTCCTTAGTTGTCCTCTCCCCTGCCCTCCCTGCCCCTTAGTGTTCCTCTCCCCTCCCTTCCCTATCCCTTAGTTGTCCTCTCCCCTCCCTGTCCCTTAGTGTTCCCCCCTTAGTGCTCCTCTCCCCTCCCTGTCCTTTTGTGGTCCTTTACCCTCCTTGTCCCTTTGAGTACCCCCCCACCCTCCTCCCTTTGTGTTTCTCCCCCTCCATTCCCTGGTGTGACACATTACCTCTTTTATGGCATGTCCCCGGCCGGACTGTCAGGAAATGCTCTCTCAGTGAGCACTTCCTGTCAGTCCGGCTGGGTACAGGAATCAGAAGCTCCTGTACTGCGTCCCTCTCTGCTCCACTAGACCACACAACACTGAGTGACTGGCAGGAGTGTGCTTTCCTTCTGCCGGGTCACTCGTATCTTGTGCCCCCAGAGCCAGTGCGCCCTAAGTTGGCTGCCTGTGCCGCCTTATGGACGCGCCGGCCCTGAGTATAAGGAAGGTATTTAGGACCCATAATCCTCCATAGCCTGTACTCTTTCACCTACCCTAATTAGTAACTGCTGAGGCTTTAATTAGTTGGCCTCAGAGCAGAAAGGTGGGATATACAATCTGACCAGCTGGAGACAGGGTTGTGCAGAGCAGCTCTCTTGTGAAAGTGCTAAAGGCTGGTGAAATCTACGTTTGTTTTGCTGGCTTTGTTAGTTTATTACCCTGGAGTAGTAAGGGAAGTTATATATGTTTACTAAGTGCTCAAATTTGAGCTAGGATTTTCTTTTCTCTCTTCCTGTATTGATGACCAAACTGATTGCTGCATGGATTTTGTGCATAGGTTAAATAAACCAACACCTATTGTTGTCATGTACCTGATACCCTAGAAGACCATGTTGCTTTGCCAATGGGAGAAGTGGCCCATTAACCTGAAAGGTCATAGTATATTGACTAAAAAAAATATACAGTATCATGGTCCCCAACTCTAACTCATAGTAACCAAACACTTTTGTTCTCAAAATGAGTAGAATATAATCTAAAAATAAACAAAGAAAATTATCTTTGATGTGGAAGATTTTAAGGCCATGTTTTTTTGGTTTTTTTTAATAAAGCATATCTAGAATATATGACATATTTAATATTTTCTAGTAAGTCATTGGAAAGTGTTACAATACTATTGTATAATGCTTTCTTTGTTAGTATCACAAGATGTACATTTGAACTAACTGATTCAGTAAAAACCTCATAAAATATCAACTTATTCACTTCAGGGTTGATTTTATCTTTTGTTTTCTGTAGTACACTTTGATAAATAGCTTGTTAATAACAAGAGTTAATGGCCTGTAGAATTTAATCTGTAGTTCTGTTTGATTTGAAGTCCTTGGGAATCCCTCAGAGTTTTAAAGAAAGAAGTTGGACAGTTAATTTTAGGTCAGATTCTGATAATGGACTAATTAAAGAGTTGTATAAGTAATCCATCTTTTGCAGAAGATTATCTTTATTCTTTCTTTGAAGCATCCCTCAGAGTGCTCTTTCCTGTCATTCTAATCTTGCTTATCGTCTCTATGCAGATGGCATACAAGTGCAAGTCACCTTCTGTATCCTTTCACTGGTCTCTGCTTTGTAAATGGATCAGCTTCTGTACTAGTGAAATATCAATAGTACTATTCTTTGCTATATAAATATTATTTGTATGTGTGTCATTTGAATTTTTTTCTGTATTACATTTCTTAGGTATACATGATTTGCTTACTTTAACAATTAATTTCATTTTTTTTTTTTATTAATTTCTTATGTATTTTGTTATGAATTAAATAGGAAAGTGAATAAAGTGAGGGAGATGTTTTATTATTTTTATGACTGTTCTTAAAATTTTGCATTACCTTTTACAGCTAGATTGCATTTAAATAGGTCTTAAATATGATATAATTGTACAATTATGTTGTGCATGAACAACATGAGAGCTACTCTGTTATTCTGCCTTCTAGCATTGTACTAAATAGTTATGAGCAGCATTATTTAGTCATTTTATTGTAATACTGTTATTTATTGCTCTGCAGCATGTAAGGTAATTTTGAACCTGTTTTTGAAATTAACTGAGCAAATACATCTGAGAAAACAAATATTAAAAAAAAAAAAAAAATATGCAGATATTTCCAGGATTTAAAAAATATTATGCCAGACTAATAATTTAGTTACTGTACTTTTACTCAGTTACTGTATGATCACTCAGGCCAGCCATCAGATGAGTATAGCCAGGAAGGAAACTGTTGGGTCTTGGCCCTTCATGGGGCCATGTAAATATATGGGGTCTGGTTGGGGAGACATTCATATAGCTCCTAACTAAACTGCATTATGGAATTGTGATGACACATGGCCTCTATTGTGTTGGCAAGTGGGTTTTGATTACTATATTTTAAGATTACTCAGGGCAGCCATCAGATGGGCATAGCCAGTAAGGAGCCTGTCTGGTCTTTGGGCCTTGTCTTGTTGGGGAGATAAAAATAGCTCTCCCTAACCAGTCTGCATCATGGAATTGTGATGGCAAGTGTGCTCTAGTGCCAAGAGGAAGTAATGTCATAGGAAAGAATTTTAATGGTTTCATGATTACTAATAAACTAGAATGTTAATTAACCCCTTAGTGGCCAGACCATTTTTAAATTTTCTTACCGTTGAGGACCAGGGCTCCTTTTACATTTCTGGGGTGC